GGTGGTGAGTATTTAAGTACAAGTGACCATTACACTATTAGATGTGGGATTTTACTGTGTGTAGAATTGAAGAAGAATAATACCCTGATTCTAAATTTCAGGAAAGCCAATATTGGTAGAATGAGACGTGATCTGGCTTTTGTAGATTGGACGAAAGAGTTGAGAGGATGATCTTCAACAGATGTGGGAAGCATTTAGGGAAAAATTGATATGTATACAGAACATACATATTCCCTACAGAAAGGAAGGGCAACGAAGTGGAATAAGTCATTATGGTTTAGTAAATGTTTAAGAGATCATATTAGGGATAAACATAATAAATTCAAGAAATTTAAACTTACTGGAAATAATAAGGACTTAGAGGACTATAGGAAGTCAAAAGAGCTGGTTAAAAAGGAAAGTTAAAAGGGCAAAAACTGTATATGAAAAAAGGCTGGCTGAGAGAGTTAAATCAAACACTAAGGAATTTTTTAGGTATATGATGTGTAAGCAAAATGTTAGGATGGGGATTTGGCCTTTTAAAAATGATAGTGGGGAGCTGATCTCAGAAGATTATGAGATGGTAAACTTATTAAATTATATGTTTGCTTCAACATTTACGGAGGAAGATACAAGTATTATGTCTCAACCAGAGCACTTAATTGATGTAAAAGATATCATTTTAAGTTCTGAAATTGTAAGAGAAAAGTTGGGAAACCTCAAATTTAATAAATCCCCTGGACCAGACAACTTTAATCCTAGTTTTAAAGGAACTTAAAGATTTTATTTGTGAACCTCTAGCTAATATTTCTTATAGGTCATTGAGTAGTGGAAGAGTATTAAAAGATTGGAAGTTGGCTAATGTTAATCCAATATTTAAAGGAGGTGATAAACATTGTCCAGGCAATTATTGGCCGGTTAGTCTTACATCAGTAGTTGGAAAGGTTTTGGAGAGTATGATTAAAGATGCATTGCAGAGTCACTTAAAGCAGTTTGATATAGTGTCAGAGAGCCAGCATGGTTTCACTAAGTCTTGTTTAACAAATCTTCTGACATTATTTGAGGATGTTACTGCAAGAGTTGATGAAGGAAATACTGTGTATTTGGTTTACCTTGATTTTGAGAAAATGTTTGATAAGGTGCCTCAAAAAGACTTGTTACAAAAATTAAATCTGTGGGTGTGGGGGTAATGTTATTAAATTGGCTGGAGAGTAGAAAGCAGAGAGTAGTAATAAATGGAGTTGGATCTGACTGGATCACAGTTACAAGCGGTGTGCCTCATGGCTCTGTGCTGGGTCCTCTGCTCTTTGTGATTTATATTAGTGATATTGACTCTGGAATGACTAACAAAATTTTGAAGCTTGCAGTTGTCATTAAGATTTTTGGGGTGGTTAACTGTATCAAAGATGCTGCAGACTTACAGGGAGATTTAGATCATTTGATGCATTTGACCAATATGTGGCATATGATGTTTAACTATCCAAAATGTAAGGTGATGCATGTAGGTTTTATATTATATGTTCAGTAATGTGTGTGAAATTAATCTTATCTGAGGATATGTTTAGGGTCATAAAGGTCACTCTCAGTGACCACCTTATTACACTTGTGTTGGTTTTTATTTGTTTTGTTATAATTGTTATTGTTTTTTTTATTCTAAATAATATAAAACATGTCCATCTACTGACCACCTTTAATGCCAAAAATGAAAAGATACACATTGATAACTACACTAAAGTGGTAAACAATTTCTTTTTTTCTATACATTTAAAATATATACTACTTAGATACTAACTGATATTTGTCTGTTTGTCACTGATCTAGTCTGTCCTTGTTTTATAATTTACTGAAGTCTGTAGTACTTACAAGCTTTTGAAACAAAACTCTTGAATGTTCCTGTCAATATGTAAGTAAGCTTACATGTCTACAAATGTTTTTATACCTATTTTATAAAGGTAAAAAATATGTCAATGATCATTGGTTGAACAGAGAAAATCAACTAGTAATTGTAAATCAAAATAAAGCTCATTAATTTATTTTGTTTTTTTGTCTTTCAATATTATTTTAATATTGTAAACTTAACATATTATATAGATTAAGGCTTTAAGCCCTTTTTTATATTTTGGGTTTTATTCAGAGATTACTGAAATGCTTCCTGGAATTTTGAACCAGTTGGGTGCTGAAAGCCTCACTCACCTGAAGAGATTAGCAGATATACACAGTGCAGCTGGTGAGTTTTTTTTTTACACATTCTATGCACCAGCAGAGATTAACAAATATACACAGTGCAGCTCAACAAAAGTCAACAGTGTTTTTAGCATATTACAATGTCTGACAGATGTGTGCAGCCCCATCATAAGCCTTGAGAACTGATCCACAGTATGATGTACATTTCAACTATGTATTTTAAAACGTAACTAATACGTATTAACCAGGATATAAAAGTGAGACCTAGATATAATTTAAATGTATGTAACTATAGCACATTTAAATAAGACACAACCATAAGTGCTATAGTTTATCAAGTAGCCAACAATATTACAGTCAGTTGTATGTACTCTGTGAATAAAACTGCATGCCAATTTCAAAATAACCCTTGTTAGATTATAGTGTAAAATGAGCTCTTTCTAATGACTATACATGTGTATGTAACCTCTACATGTAGGCTATAAAGCCCAAACAAATCTATTGAAGGTGAGAATGGCACCTGTCAGGGGTTAACAAAATTTATTACTTGTTTCAACTTCATTCATTCAGAGAACTTTGAAATGTATACACTATACATTCTATACACTAGAAGTTATTAACAGATATACACAGTGCACCCGGTAAGTTATTTTTTACACATTCTATACACTAGAAGATATTAACAGATATACATACATTTCTTTTGACATCATGCTTTCAAAGTTACAGGTTATATTCAGATCATTTGATACTGCTGATAAAATAATACTTGTAAAATGTTGTGTAATATTATTAAGAACTATATTGGAGTTATTTATTAGTTTAATCAATTGGTACAGTTATCAATTAGACCAAAATCAATTCTGTTAAATGAATACAGCCAACTCCTTAAGTTAACACAGGGTCTTAATCTAGTATTTTTTTAAATCCTAGTGTTTTTTAAATGTTGCTTTCCAAGTTAAGAATCTTGATATATTTTTCAGGATAATACTGAAGGTGTAACATTGTCCAATAATGATATTGTTTGCTAATCAGTCAATATCAACATAATTTAGTAATATGTTATTTTAAACTACAGTATGTATTTTGTATAATATTTTTCTGTACAAAATGCTGCACTCGTATAAATATTATTTTTTTTGTGCTTATTTGTTCAAGCCGGAAGTGGTGACCATGGAGTAACTACAGGAATAGATGATGATGACGAAGTACCGGGTATGAAATTTTTAAGTATAAATAACCATTAATGGCTGGAGATGGCTTGAATGGGTAATGAAGAAAAACTTTAATATAAGTTTAACATAACAGCAAATGTACAACGTTTCGACAAGATTTTGTCATAAGCAGTCGTTGAGTTCGATTTGAGGTCATTAGTTCCAACATGAAGAATTAGGTATTTTACAGTCTGTGACACTAAAGATACAGAGTAAAAGATCAAGTGAAGTGTATCGAAACCCGGTTTATAGCATTGTAGGTCTGCAGATATACCGCTGTGCCACTGGGGGGGTGCAACAAGATAACAAAGAACTTGTATATTGGTCCAGTTGTGAGACTAATAAATGCAAATTTATTGGTTGCAGCTTCTTTCTTTGGTTCCTGGATTTTCAGAATGTTGTAATTCCTCAAGGTTCCTTAACACTGCGTTAAATGTCTTGCAGATGATTATTATTTTTTAAAATATTGCATAAATTTTTTTGGCACCACTTTAAATAGATAGAGGTAAGAGGACAGGAGTAGTAGTGATTCCGTAAAGTTGGTAGGAATTGTGAAACCGTAAAACTTACAAAAAGGACAGTAAAGTAAGAGAGATTATTTCAAGAGTTGCATTTTTATAATATGAAGGGTAAGTGTAGTTAATATTTAGCAAATATCAGTCAGGTACTGTGAAATCTACCTTGGTGTTCACTGTTTAGCTAGCATGTGTGTGAGGAAGATAAAAATTAATGTGCATTAGGAAACTCGTGGTTAAAATAAATTTTATATTTATTCTGTATAAAAATAAGCTGCCATTTGAGAGTATCTACCACTTTGAAATCTTCTAACACCAAGTTTTCTCCACCTAGAAAACCTTCAACCTTTATTTAAATAGAAATTATAATGAGTGCCAACATTTACTGCTATCAGATCTCACACTTAGAAAAAAATTGTGTAAAATACTTAAAACTTTTCGTTTCTTAAGTGTATTATTAACTGATTTAGAAAAATTCAAAACCAAATGTTAGGTATGCATTGTAAGTAAAATTTATGGTGTTTCTAATTGATGTAGCTGTATGATGAGATGATTGTGTTTAAAGTATGTTGTGTGTCTTTCCAATATTTTACTGACTTTTTCTGTTATGACTACACGTAAAGTTGTTTTGTTTTCATACATTTGAGAGTTATAAATATAGAGATTGTATTATTTTCTGTCAGTTTGTTGCTAGAGTTTGCTATAATGGTTTAAAGTTTTGAAATGCTGTGTACAATTTTTTTGTTTTCAGATCTTGTGGAAGACTTTGATGAAGCTCTGAAATCTGAAGCTGTGTAATAACAATAAAGATGAAGATGAGAAACAATGAAATTGTGTTCAGTCATTTAAAGTGACTTTTTCATTTTACAGTATGTAATTGTAATATGTAAATCAAATGTTTACTGTGGGATAATTATGGTACACTTAGCTTTGCACATTTTCTAGTGACTCGCTTCAAAATACATCTCATTAGTAATCAAGGAATTATTTTAATTAATAACAGTGAAGAGTAAATAAAGTTATTTGTAGTATCACATGTTGTATGAAGCTTTATTTTGCATTAATAATCATATTGTTAATTACTACATGGAATACTGTGATGGACATGAAGTCATATACTCTATCAGAATAGTTTGAAATAAAAGCATCAATCTTTTTTTTTTTCTAATTTGTATATTTTGAAATTTTATGTAACTTGAAATCTGTAGGTACTTTGTTTTTACTTTTGTCTGTCATTAACAATTATCTGTTGTAACCATTTCTTGTATAATAGTGATGATTAAGTATCATAAGGTAAATTGGCCTATTTTCAGTGTAGCTTTGTTCTAATGGTGGATACAACAGATAGCCCAGTGTGGCTTTGTTCTAATGGTGAATACAACATATAGCCTAGTGTGGCTTTGTTCTAATGGTGGATACAATAGATAGCCCAGTGTGGCTTTGTTGTAATGGTGAATACAACAGATAGCCCAGTGTGTCTTTGTTCTAATGGTGGATACAACAGATAGCCCAATGTGTCTTTGTTCTAATGGTGGATACAACAGATAGCCCAATGTGTCTTTGTTCTAATGGTGGATACAACAGATAGCCCAATGTGGCTTTGTTCTAATGGTGAATACAACAGATCGCCCAGTGTGGCTTTGTTCTAATGGTCAATTCAACAGATAGCCCAATGTGGCTTTGTTGTAATGGTGAATACAATAGATTGCCCAGTGTGGCTTTGTTCTAATGGTGGATACAACAGATAGCCCAGTGTGGCTTTGTTCTAATGGTGAATACAACAAATAGCCCAGTGTGGCTTTGTTCTAATGGTGAATACAACAGATAGCCCAGTGTGGCTTTGTTCTAATGGTGAATACAACAGATAGCCCAGTGTGGCTTTGTTCT